TGTGACTGGCATGGGAAGACCTGAGACTCGGGCTCCAGATGGACCTGGGCTGAAATCCTGCTGCTCATGGGCTGGGCCAGATCAGGGAAGTTGCCAGCCCTCTCTGAGTCTTCTTTGGTCTACAGATGGAGCAAGGAGTATGGAAACCCTCCCCCAGCGCTGGCATGTAGTGTCTCATCTGTCCCCTTGCCAGAAGCATCAGGTCGCGGTCACTCCATGGGAAGCGGGTGGCTCCTCAGGACTCTGCTCCCCCCAGGTGTCCAGTCCCTTGCAGGCAGTCACTTTCATCTGAGTCTCCTTCCCGTCTATGGAAAATGATGCCATTTTCCCGTGGAAGAGGGGTAAGACAAAGCTTTCCTCACAAGGCTCGGCCCAGGAGAAGAGCACAATAAGAGAAGAATCAGCGCCTGAGGTCTCACGGAAGCGCAGGTCTGGGCTGGCAATGGTGCAGCCGACCTGGCACTGGAGCTGGGCCGGTCCAGGGAGGGCGCACATGTTCTTACCCAGACTTTCCACCAGGTGGCGACATAGAATAATTTTCAGAACAAGTCTATGGGCCAAGGTAGCTGGGGTGGACCTGGTTAAAGCAGGCTGCCAGTTTATTCAATGTTCAGTGCAAAGACCTGAGGCTCGATCACCCTTCACCTTACCTCCTTAATCCAGATGTTCATCAAAAACAGGTGGCAGAGAAGGGGGCACAGTGATCCTAGCAGTCCCCAGTCAGGTAGCAGAAAAATCTATTAAGCATTATGTTTGCATTTTAGCAGTAAAAGGGGCCTTCAGGAAAATCTACTGTTCCAGAATGGAAGCAGGTCAGAAGGTCACAGCCCCTCTTGGAGGGGTGCTTGTGGCTCCTTGGGGTGCGGCATGACCTGGGGGAGTGGATTTCAGGCAAAGTCTCCACCCCTCACTGAGCCAGGTGAGGGCAGGGACCATACTTTATCTGACTGCTAAGGCACTGAAAAACCAATGAGGCTGAGGCTTTCTAGGCTGCTTCTCCCACAAGTTTTCCCAGTGCACGGGCAACACTTCCTTGGTCCTGGTAGGACTTGGGACTGAATGTAAACTACCCAAGGAGCCTCCCTCTCAGGTCCTGCAGAGGGAGGGGCACTTTGGTAGGGACCTGCCTAGGAACACAGGCAGGGACCCGGGGCCAGGTCCAGATGTCTGATGACCGCAGGCATCTCGTGCTTCTCTGTGCACCGTGTCCTTGAGAAAACGCACCCTACTGTATCCTATGAACACATTACTCGCATTTACTGTGCGCTGACTTTGTCCCCTTCCCAGAAACAAAGGCTAAGACCCTGACTGGCCCAGTCCACACTGATCAACAAAAGCGCTTTACCTCCGGAAGTGCGGGCACGTCTCGCGCCCCCCGGGATCCTGAGCGGGACGCCCGTCTTGCAGCACCGCTCTGCTGCCAAGAAACTCTCCCTCTGCTTCCTCTGCATGCGCCACACTTTAAATAAGCGTTCGCTCCACACTGTACCAGTCCCGACTCCCCCCTTTCCTTCACTGGTACGAGGGCAAGGACCCGAAGAGAGGCGGGGTTTGCTCAGAGGCCCCTGCCCGATGCAACAGCAGGACGGGAGCAGCAGGCATGGGGACAAGGACAGGCAGGGAAGATGTGTATTGTATGCTTGTGTGCTGCTTCACCTTTGAGCCACGCAGACGCACTGCCTCCAGACCCGGCTCTAGCTCGCCCAGGGCCAGGAGGTGGCCCATGGGTGGTGGGCGCGAAGCACTCGGGATTGGGTAGGAGACGCCAGAGACCTGTCGAAGAGCCCGGTTCACGCGAGAGAAACTCATTCCCTCCCTTCTTTCCCTAGGTCCTCGGAACCCATCCACGAGAGTGTCTCGGTGAGGTGCTAGTGAGTCTTCAGCACCCACTTAAGTCCTCGTAAACTGATTTTTCAAAGAAAGCGGACGTTGAACCTAAAGCCTCAACACCTGTAGCTGCTAGGCAAGGAGGGCTGCGCTCCGCCGACTTGTACAAACCCCCACTGTACGTGCTAATTAAGTACTGCCCTTCCCTTTACAATGGTGATGTGATACTTCCTTACAATAAATTAAGAAAAATGCTGTTTTTAGGAAGTAAATCCTAATTCCCCTGCTCTGTGATAGGGTAACGTTATCAAGTGTGGAGCTGGTGGCCCAAGCTGCTGTTTCCAGGGAGTTAGTGAACTTGACCCTCCCAGCTGCTGCAAGGGGCAGACAGGCCTGGGAGGCCTCGGGAGAAGGCGGGCTGTGCGGGCTAGCAATGGGGGCGCTGGACCTGGGCACTCAGCCTCCGGCACGGCCTGCACCCAGAGGACAAGGCCGGCGGCAGGTGAATGCGGACCCGCTCCAGCTCTGGCCCTGTCCCACCTCACCCTGGCAGTTGCTCCAGAGTTGATCTCGGGCTTCATCTTGAGCAGTTCCAACGTCCTCCCTTCTAGCTCTGGGTCCCTAGAGCCATCTGGTCTCGGCTCCCTCCACCTCCACACCAGAGCCGTCCTCTGGTCCTCTAATCCAGGGAGCTGTCACCATCTGCCTCTGGAAGTTCCTCTCCCAGCAGCACGAGGAGCGCTGCATGCTGCTCCCACCACGGCCCGGCTTGCTCTCCAGTTAGCCTGGGCCACACAGCCCTGCGCCATCATCCTGCCCCTGGCCCTCTCCACCACCAGCCCTGCAAAGCCCTCCTGGGACTCTTTGTGAAGTAACTGGATTCTCTTCTTTCATCTGTCAGTTTGCAATGAAAGCGGCAGGCCGGGGGAGTGGTGGGGGATGAGGCAAGGAAGGCTGCAGCTCTTTCACAGTGCAGCCAGATGAGCTGGGCATGGATGAGGTCGCCCAGCCAAGCATCCCCTCTGCCTCAGAGCAGACATGAGAGGTCGGGAAGCCGGGCAACCTGGGTCAGTCACAGGGCTCCAGGTCCCTAGAGCCAGGGGCCTAACAGAGGAGGACCCAGAGGGTGAGCTTTGAGTCTCCATTTGAATCAGTTCAGCCCAGCTCACTTGGGCTCCGGGGCAAGTTATAAACCTCACCAGTGTCCTCAGCAGCTCAACAAAGACGGAGAATGATGGTGAGAATTCCTAGGTCATAAGGCTCTAGGGACAAGCACAGGAAAACCTCAGGGCGCCTTCATTTCCAAAAGCTAGGGAGGGGGTGACTTTGGGCTCCAAGACCGAGACTGGGACATGGCCAGGTGCCTGGGACATTGTGACCGCTCCAAGGCCGAAGCCTGCAGCACCAAATCTGTGCTCCCAGGGCCAGCACCTGCAGGAAGAGGCCCAGGGCTGGTGCAGCCCCTCCTTTCCACAGCTTCCTATCCATCTCTTGCCACCATGTCTGGGTGACCCCATGAAAGGCCCCCAAGAGGTAGGCAGGTCCCAGATCATCACTGCTTCTGAAACTGAGGCTTGAGAAGTCAAACGAACTGTCCCAGGTCATGGGCCCGCAGAGAGTGAGCAGGGCCTGGGCCCAGGCTGTGTGCCCAGCTGGCTATCACCACAGGGCCGACTTCCTCCCCTGACTTCAAGGTGAAGCAGCCATATGGGCAGGGGCTCTGACTGCCACCCTAAGGCCTCCCCCTAGATACACACAGGTCCCAGTTAAGGAACCAAAAGCCTGTTCTGGTCCCAGTCCCAGGGGCAGTCAGGCAAGGGATCTTTGGAGACCTGGCCAGGTCAGAGTCTGTTTCACCTGATCTCAGGCTTGGCGTCCTCCTCTGAGAAATGGAGATGTAACCCACCTCCAAGGCCAGCTGCAGGGTGGAGAGGTAGAGCTGAGTGTCACTGCTTGGAATTTGTGGCAGGAAGGATGAAGAGCCACTGGTCCCAGAGCTTGGGCAGGAAGAGACACAAGCCAGGACCCTGTAACTCCCATCACCACCAGCCCACGCAGGGAGGGGGCCACTGTCCTTTCCGGCCCTGCGAGGGCACTGGAGGCCTGGTGGTGTCCCCGCTGCTGGTCACCAGGAAGGAATAGAGGCAGCTTCCCAGGTAGCCAGGTTGCAAATCCAGCCTGATACAGAGACACAGGGCTGCTGAAGCTCGGAAAGGGTGAAATGAAAGGGAAGCCCAGACAAGAGAGATCACGGAAGGGAGGGGAGGTCTACAGGAGAGGCTCACCGGGCAGGGTCCTGCCTGAGGGTGATGGGCTGTGGGAATTTATGATCCAGGACAGCAGTGGGCACAGGGCACCAGGATGCCACAGGGGACAGCTGGGCGCCAGCCAGCCCAGCCCCACTGCCCTTGCACAGGGCCCCAAGAAGAGCCCAGCACCCCCTGCTCTCTACACCCAGCATTAAAGGGGACGCACAACTGCCACAAAGAGATGGACAGAAAGCACTGGTTCTCCTCTGATGCCACAAAGCATCACCCAGGAGGGTCCCCCAAGGGCAGCAGAGGACACAGGGGCCTTTCTCTCCATCCTCCCCCTGACACCCATCCAGGGGATCTGAGAGGGGTCCAGGAACCTGGGGCGAGGTGGGCGCAGTCCTTGGCTCACCAGTCTCTCTGACCCTCACCCTCAGCTCACTGTTGATCCAGCCCCAAAGCCCCAGTGCTTCCCTGGCAGGGACCCCACAGATCTGGGTTTCAGTAGCCAGGCCCAATCCAAGTCCTTCTTTCACAAAAAGTGGGGCTCCCTCACGTCATACGCACCTTCCAAGTGCAGCGTGTGGTAGCCAGGGCTCAGGAGAGCTGCAGGGGGCGAGGGGTGGTGAATGACCCAACAGCCCCTCTGTCAGCTGGAGCCCCTCCCCACAGAGCAGACCTTCAAGGTCAACACCTCAGCGTGAGCTCAGAAGTTATCTGACATCAGGCAAGGGGGCTGAATCCAGACTTCACCTGTGCCTCTCCTGCTCCAGGTTCTGCCGAGAAAACACTGCAGAAACCCCTCCATCGTCTATAGTGCCTGCTGCTGCCCGGCTCCCCTACCCCTACCTCTCCCAAACCACCCTGTCTTCCAGAACCATGTGGCCCTGCACAATTATTTACCAACTCCTTTACATGGACTCATTTTTACTTAAATCTATTTATTGAAATGTCACCATAAATAGAACCCACACAAGAACCCCTAGTCATAAATAAAAGGTAGCTAATAAAAATACACCATTAAAACAAAACGGTGCTATAAAAGTCTGGAAACTTCTCCCATCTGCCCTAAGCCCCAGTTCTGCTCCCTGGTAAGGGGGAGTCAGCTTGAGTTCCCAGGATTCACAACACATTGGCACCAAGTTGATTCTTTTCTCAGCATAAACAGATTAAAGAGAACTGGAAAGAGAATTTTTCTTGCTCTGGGTTTGTTCCTCTTAGAGGCCCGACACCACCTGAAGACATCTCCAGACAACCAGGGTACCCGCCCCGTCCTTTGGGATACTGGGCTAGAGTCTCCCTTCCCTCTCTGCCACACTTAACATCGGGGAGACCCACACCCAGGGCTGATCACACCTTCAAAGCCCACCAGGTCCCTTCCCCGCGTGCCCACTCTCAAGCCAAGGCCTGGCAAGTCCCTCTCAATACGCCTGCCTGTCAGCCCCGGACGTCACCGCTGACTCAGGTGGGACACCAGGTACACGAGGCCCACCAGCAGGAGGCCACGAACTCCAAGCATCATGAGGAGGAAGAGGAGCAAGATGGAGGTCACGGGCTCCACGGCATGGTTTCCAAGATGCCACTGGGGGAAGCCCATGTTCACCAACTGCCGGTTGAGGTCATTGAAGGGGGACTGGGCAGCACCCAGTCTGGCTCCTGCCTGCTGCTGACGGGGACCAAGGCCCCCAGGTGGGGCACCATGGCCCCTGTTGAGAAAACCCTGGAAGGCAGAGACAGAGAGATGAATGAATCCAGAAAACATTTCCCTGGGGTTGAGCACCAGCCAGCAGGAAACTTGGGGGCCCTGCCCTCCCCCACAGCACTCCTGTACCCCTTCCTCAACAGCCCCAGGACACCCCCCACCCCCAGAATCCCAACAACTGAGCCACAGGCTCTCAGTGCACAGAAAATGCCAGTCTATATTCCCTAGGCCCAGGGAGAAGGTTCCAGGACAGAGAGGAGAGGAAGGGACCAAGCCGGGAGGACTCGGCACAGGCACAGCACTTAGGTCTCTCCAGCTTCTCTCCCACCCTAGAGGCTCTTTAAAGAAAGACACCGCTCCAGCACGGTTTGCTCACCAGGTGAAAGGACAGAGCACTCTTGGGTTTGAAGTCTGGGGAGGCTGACTGGAGGAGGGAGAGCAGGGGAGGCAGGTCTGGGCAATATACCCGCTGCATTTCCCCAGGTCTTGACCCAGCTTGGCTCTCAGCAGAGGATTTCAGGCTACAGAAGGTTCATGACCAACAAAAAACTTCTGGGAGCTGAGGGGGGACCAGGCCAGAGGAGAACAGCTGCTCCCCTGCCCCAGGGACAGGGCCTACCTGCCTCGGGGTGCTCCCCCTCTGCGGGGCAGTGCTCCTCACTCGGGGGTCATCATCCTGAACGATCTCCCCATTGGCCAAGATCCGCACCATCTTCTGCGAAGCTACGGGTCCCTGCTGGGCAGCACCTGCAAAGCATGGTTGGATAGGGGGCTGATGGAGGAACCTGGTGGTCCCCTTCCCAAGTACCCTTAACTCTTAGTGATCTGTGGCCAGGATCATGAAGGCCACGGGTGCTTCAAAATGCCTGGAGGAAACAATTAACCCCTGACTGGGAGGTGCCTGCTTCCAGTGGTGCCCACCTGAGCATGTGCTGTATGATTAATAAAGGGAGAAGTAGATGCACGTTGTTTGCCCAGGAAAATCCTGCACGGTGTCCACTGGGACACTCCCGACAGGATCCTTGGAGAGGGGTGTTTCACTGCCAGCCACCAGCAGCAGCAGGCCCTGTGGGAAGTCCAGCGAGGCCGCTCACCTGGGCCTCGCCAGCTGCTCTGCTCTGCTCTGGGGAGCTGCACAGCCACCCCACAGCTCCTAGTCGCTTTCGGGGACCCTCAAATCTCTGGGCAGCGGAAAGCAGCGACGCAGGCTCTGGACGCTAACCACGGCGCCCAGGGAGCAAACGCTCAAGATCTAGGCCTCCTCCCTGCAGGACCCGTGAGATCCGAGCTGCTCGGGGTCACTCTGCCCACTGCCTGGCGGGGACCACGCGACCACCACTCAGCCCCTGAGGGCTCCGACGGGCAGACTCCGCTGCAGAGGCCAGGCCCCGCGGTCCGTCGCCTCCAGCTCTGCTAAAGAAGGAGAGGCCCGGTCTTCCCGAAAG